CATACGCAATGAACCGCCCCAGCTGGTTTATCTTTTCAATTTGACATTTTCATTTTTCAACTTCCTCTAATCCTCTGCTTCGGTGAATCCAGATTCTAGAATTCTCCAGGGCCTCCACTCCAAGCTTCCTGGTTCCAGACTCCCGGGCTTCCAGGGACTAGCGCCAATGGACGAAAATTTGAAATCTAACGCGAAAAACCTCAATTTCTCGCCTCTCGCAGTCCCGCATATCGCACGCCGGATTCATTTTATATATCTTTCAGGTCCTTTGTTTTGGTAAGTAAACTGGATGTCCAGCTCCTTTATCTGAATTTCTGATTATGATTTTGTTCAATATCTACTGTTATCACTTAATTGCTAAGTTTCCTGCCCTGTAGTTCATGGTGTGTTCACCTTTCTTACGAATCTTACCGTCTCTTTTTCTGAGTATTAATTCATTAATGTAATTATTCTTTCATTTCATTGAAGATAATTTTATGTTTTTGGAAGATTTTAAGATAATGCTAAGGAAAAGGAGCAGATCGAACCAAAAGAATCAACTGATGGATCAATTGTTGTTTGATTCTGTTTTCCTTACTCTCATAATCGATGTTGTTTTCTGTTTATTTTAGGCCATTGGAATGTGTTTGAAAATCTAAAGCATGGAGGTAATAGAACGTGCTATTTGCTGAAATTTGGAGAATTAACAATGATAGGGATTATGTTAGGATTAAGCCTGTAATCTTTCTACATATATGTGCAAAATGGGAAATAAAGTGCTTCAATGAGGCACCAAGTGTTTCACAGCCTCATTTTCATTCTGATGTTTTTGGTTAGGAGACAGGAATTAAACTAAAATTATTTCTGTCTTTAATGTTCCTAGTCTGTTTGTGGGGTTCAATCCCAAGAATTCAGAATCTGATTCAATTAGAAGCCCTACTTCTCCTCTAGATTTTAAGTTGTTTTCAAATTTTGGCAATCCATTTAGGGTCTCAAAATTATCAAATGAGGGGCATCAGAAGAGACGGGATTATAGTAAAGTAGGCTTAAGCATTATCCATTGTCTTGAAAATGGAAGTGAACACTCGGAGAAGGTTCTCCTATTGTCCAATAGTATTATAATTATTATTAATCCTATGGGCTATGGTGGTAGTTTCAAGTTTGTTCGAATCTCAAAATGGTGATTGTTGAAACCGTGAAAAAGGGATGAAAAATAGTTTTTTTTATTTTTTACTCTTAATAATTAGTTCTATGATTCTATCAATATTTTAAATTTAATTAATTCCCAAATTTTGTTGCAGAACTTTATATAGGAATGATTGTATTGAGTATTGAGTACTGATTGTTACAATTTTCCAAGTTAGTCCTCATTTTCTTCACTTCGTTCTTGTCTTTGTTTCTAGTTTGGAAGTTGGAACTCCTAGTTTTTAAATAATTTCAAGTTTCAATGATATATTGATTAATTGATATAATTTCAGGGCATGTTTCATTGTTTTGAGGTAGATATTTCGAGAATAGATTTTGCAAAATAAATTCATTTGGTTATTTCTTGTTGGGAAATTGTCCGGTTAAAATGAGTTCGGGGGAAAATTTGTTTTATAGAATCCGAGCATAAAGGGACTCAACTTATTCTTTGGTTCTTCGTCGTCCTTGAATTGTAAAGCATTTTCTGATGACTGATTGTTCACTTATTATTCATGTTTAGTGAATAAATTTATCCAATTTTTGCCCCTAGCTCTGCCATATTGTTGTTCGATAGTAAAGTATCTTAATCAAAATTATTATATAAGTTTGTCTTATTAGTAAATGCCATTCGCCATTCGGAATATTCTAAGTAAATATTGTTGGGGATATTTGTATCATTTTCCACTTCGGAAAATATCTCTCAAACCAAGTTTTTTTTAATTAGAACCTAACAAGGTGTTTTTAATTGATTCTTGCAGGTTGATTGTTGAACTCCTACACTTGGCATATTTGAGAATCTGGGATATTTTTAATTCAAACTCTGAATCAGATTCTACCGTTATTTGCTTTAATTATGTCCACTAGAAAATTTGAATCTGAATATTCTAAAAGAAAACGGCATAAGAAGGTTGAACAATTGATTAAATCTCAAGAGGGAGCCCTTGATAAATTTTTTAGTGGTAGTAAACAAAAGTATAATGACGATGTAGTTCCCGAAGAAGAGTTTAATAAGAATGATATCGGTGATAATACAATTGAAAAACATCATTGTTTGGTGATTGAAGAGATGTCTTTCGAGGATGATGTTATGGATGAAATAAACATCAATGAAAAGATTAGTGAACCATTCTCCTTAGATGTTAGTGATCCAGTGAATTGGGAAAATATGAATCAGAATTTAAGAGATTTAATCGTAATGAAAGGTTCAGTAAGAGACAATGATGTAATTTTTCCAAAAGATGTAGCTAATCGACACTTCTCCTCTGTTCATTACACTCGACGATTACCCAATGGAGAGAATCATGATAGAAAATGGTTAATATATTCAAAAAGTCTGGATAAAATATTTTATTTTTGTTGTAAGCTATTCAAGAATGATGGGGTTTAAACTCAATTGAAACATGATGGTGCGAATGATTGGAAAAATATTGGTGAAAAACTAAGAACACATGAAGTGAGTTATAACCATATCACATGAGTAGATGGATCGAAATGGAAATAAGATTTCAAAAGAAACAAACAATTGATAAAAGTGTGCAGAAACAAATCAATAAGAAAAGAGAACATTGGAGACAAGTATTATTGAGAATAATATCTGTGGTTAGAACTCTTGGAGAAAATAATTTGGCATTTCGTGAAGATAATGAGAAGATATACCAAGAAAATAATGGTATTTTCTTAAGTTTAATTCAAATGATTGCTAAGTTTGATCTTGTAATGCAAGAGCATATTCATCAAATTCAAAATAAAGAAATTCATTATCATTATCTTGGACACAAAATTCAGAATGAGTTGATACTTATGCTAGCGGGTGAGATCAAGAAAATAATCATCGAGAAACTCAAAGAATCCAAGTACTTTTCTATGGTACTTGATTGCACTACAGATTTGAGTCACGAAGAACAAATGTCTATAGTATTGAGATGTGTTGATATTTCAGCAAGTCCAGTGAAGGTAGAAGAATTCTTTTTAGAATTTTTATTGGTGGATGATACATCTGGAAAGGGACTATTTGATGAATTAGTGAATGCGTTGAATAATCTAGAGCTTGATATCGATAATATAAGGGGTCAAGGATATGATAATGGTGATAACATGAGAGGAAAACATAAAGGGGTACAAAATAGACTACTACAAGTAAATCCTAGCGCATTTTACACTCCTTGTGGATGTCATAGTCTCAATCTTGCACTTTGCGATATGGCTACTTGTTGTACAAAAGTTAAATCTTTTTTTGGAGTGGTGCAACGTATATACACTATATTTTCATCATCTACTAAAAGATGGAAATTTTTTAAAGATAATGTAAATGACCTTACTCTTAAGCCTTTGTCTCAAACACGTTGGGAAAGTCATGTTGAAAGTATTAGAGCAATAAGATTTCAAGTTCCACAAATAAGAAATGCTCTACTTGAATTGGCAAGAGTTGATGATCCTAAGACAAAAAGTGAGGTGGAGTGTTTGGCAACATATAAAATAGAGAATTTTGAATTCTTACTTGGGATGGTTATTTGGTATGAAGTGTTGAATAATGTTAATAGAGTAAGCAAACATTTGCAATCAGAGGACATCCATATTGACGTTGCTATAGACCATTTAAAAGGGCCCATTTCATTTTTCAAAAGCTATAGAGAAACTGGGTTTGAATCGGCCGTGATTGATACTAAAGAGATTGCAAGTGAATTAGACATTGAACCGATATTTCGTGAAAAAAGAGTTATACGTAGAAAGAAGCAATTTGATGAGATTTCCCGTGAAGAGATGACAAAAACAGTTGAAGAATCTTTCAAAGTCAATTATTTCTTATATGTAGTAGATCAAACTCTATCATCACTTCAAAATAGATTTGAACAATTTCAGGAATATGATGATATTTTTGAATTTTTATTTGATTTGAAAAAGCTTAAAGCCATTGATGATGCTACATTGAAGTGCCGTTGCATTAATCTTGAAAATTATTTGAAGCATAACACAGTATCTGATATCGACGGAATGGAATTATTTTCTGAGTTGAAAATTTTAAGGGAAGCAATATCCACAGAAATTAATGGAGCAGCTGATGTGTTAGATTACATCAAGAGAATGAATTGTTGTTTTGCAAATGCTTGGGTCACTTACAGGATATTATTGACTATCGCAATCACTGTTGCATCGGCTGAAAGAAGTTTTTCAAAGTTAAAATTGATTAAGTCTTATCTTCGATCAACCATGTCACAAGAGAGGTTGAATGGATTAGCTATAATTTCCATTAAAAAAAAAATGTTGGAAAAACTTGATTTGAGTTGTTTGATTACTAATGTTGCATCTCAAAATGTGAGAAGACTAAATATGATGCTAGCCTAATCTCTTGGATTGTAAGTGATATTTTATTTAGCAATTCCGTCTTTTAAATTGTACAAAGTTTTCATTTAAATATAGATATTTTTTTTAAATATTGTTATACGTGTAGAAAAACAAAGTATGGGGCCTCAAGATTGCCGACTCGCTTAGGGCCTCCGAATTGTCAGGACTGGCATTGACTGCTTATTTTCCCACGTGACATTTTTTCAAGTTTCAACTCTAGTAAAATTTTTAGAATTGCAGTCTCAGGGGGCATTTTTTCTGAGTCCCAACTCTAGGCGAACTTTTTGAACACTACACAAAACTGTTACACATTTATTTTATCACTTATTTCTATCTTTTAAGATTTAAAAGGTATATCAATTCACAAACATAAACATTTTGTGATAGTAACAAAGTAGTATTTTCTGTTTTATTTAATTCACAAGAAAACCTATTTTTTTCTAATCGGAAAAAGTGTTATTTTTATTAATTTGTGTAATAACTATTTAGTAAAGAGTGATAGCTTCTGGTAACATTCCGGACCCTAGGAGCTTGAAGGGGAATGATACGACCGTGGTCGATGTGGAAATAAAGGTTCCACACAGTGTGTTGGTGAGCTTGATAAAGGACATAGGTGCAGATTGGATATCGACTATCTTTTGGAAAATGGGACTTGTTATTGACTTGCCACTTGTTGATAACATTACGATTCCCCTCTCTAAAAAGGGTGAAATGAGGTTACCCTGTTTTGCCAACCTCTTCAAGTGAACGTATTACAAATCGTGATACTTCTCTTTTATTACTTATATATAAGTTCTCGTGCTTCCTCTGGTTGAACAATTTTATTATTTGAGACTCCGTCACAACACTCACTGAAGATATTTAGCTAAGTTTGTGAAGTTTATTTACTCCCCCCCCCCCCCCCCCCCCCCCCCGCCCCCCCCTCGGTTTTTTTTTTTTTTTTTTTTTTTTTTTACATCTTCAAAATATCACTAAGCCCTGTTTGGCCCCCATTAAATTACACTCTATTTTTCTTTCTTCTATTTTCGATCGACCACATAATTTTTTGTAAAATAATATTACACATAAATCGAAGACTTTTACTTCTTTTTTCAACCACTCATTTTTCAAAAAAATATTATTCCACCAATTTTCATTTCTAGACCCTATATATATATTGTTGATCCCGTAGCAAAAGCAAAGGGTGAACCTCGTGGAATCATGTTCGTGCCGTAGCTTTCAAGCGGTCTCGATCTCCTTCTCCCAGCAACTTTTTTAACAGCACACAAGCTATATCTTCACGTCCATGAGAACCAACGACAAAAGTGAGAAACAACTCATCCCGGGATCCCGTCATGTTTGAAGCTCTGGAGGTTGGGGAATGGAAGCTTTTCTGCCTTTTCCTTCTCTTCTACCCACAAAAGAGAAAAAGAGCGAGACGAGGACTGACTCGAGCAGGCCCCTTCTTACTAAGCTAAGATTGACATATAAGCAACTCTTGAGCGGGGGCTAAAGATAATTTAGTCAGTAAATGGGCATTTAGTCTTCAAGATATCACTCAAGGTAATTTAGTAAGTAAATGGGCATTTAGTCTAATATAATTGGAAATAAATAACTTTTATTGATTTGAGTTAGAAATAAATAGCATATTTATTTTTTCACCATCTAATTAAAATTAGATACGAAATTTCACATATTTAAATATATTTGAAACTAAAAATTTATTTATCTCATATATAGACACAGTATCTGCTGGTGACAGTCCACTCAATAAGTTCATCACAAATATTGGAAGATTTCAATTGATCACACAAATTTAAAAGACGGTGGTGACAGGCCGAATGTATCTTTGGAAGACATTGGTGATTGTTGTATTTCTTGTCAAAATACGTGTCTAACTGAATAAGTCTCGTCAATTTGGAGAGTAGCCAATCTACAATATATTAAAAGTGTAGATTGAAGAGAAACTTACGAATATCATTTTTACCCTTATATATTTAGTTATATGTTAATTTTATAATTATATATTTAATATAGTACCAGGGGCGAAGCCAGAAATTTTGACAATGCGGACAAAATTTAGTTAAGGCCAAACTTTTCGATTATGGATTTAATGATATTACGACAATGCTGAAAATGACATAGTGACAACATTAATAAGATGATCTTCTTCTTCCTTTTTTTAGGATCTATAGCAAGTTGTGCAATATCAAAATCCATTTTATTTGATATCTCCTCATCAACGTTTTCTAAGAAATATTTTCTTTTAAAAAATCTCTCTATTGGCATTTCACACTAAAATAAACCACAAGTGAAATTAAATACCAATTGATAAGAAAATAACTACTAATTTTTACAAATTGGTAGAAAACCAGAAAATCATCACTAATTGTTTAATTGACAAAAATCAAGATTTGAAGAATTCATCACAAATATTACCAATATTCAACATTCACATAATCATAATCACTAATATTAAACAGAAAAATCACATGATCAAGAAATTTTTTACTGCAAATTTGAAGGCCCAAGGAAATATGGGTTTTAGGAAAGAAATGAACTTTGAAAATATTTCAAAACGAGGGTAGATTAAAATAAAAACTTTAATTTCTTGTCGGGGCGAAAGAGTCAGAAAATGTCACCGTGCACTTAAAGTTGGGATAAATTAGTGTATGAGCTGGACTATAGATAAATGAAAAATTCAATACTTAATTAAAAAAAAAGAAAGATAAAAATTGGAGTCCAATGCAGGCATTTGCTTGCACTGGACAATGAAGAGCTCTGCCCTTGTATAATAACACTAATTATAATTTAACTTCATTTAATATTCATTCAAATATAATGATCATTGTTTTATATTGGAGTACTTAAAATTTTACATTAATCAAATTAAGTTTAATTACTTACATTACGTTATTTAAATTAAGTTTACTACTTAAAATTGAAGCTCGCATGTATAGATGTAATTGTATTATAATTATATAATATAACATATTAAAGGTTGCATTAAGATAATGATAGATTAATTACAATATAAAATAATAATTATTATAGTTTTAGTATAATTATATATAGACAAGTTATGATTTTAAGTGATTAAACTTAATTTAATTAATATAATATTATGAGTGCTCCAATGTAAAAATAAATAAAAATGAACTCTATAATTAACAGGAGACTACCAAAGTTAAATTTTAATTAATCTATTGTTAATACCACCTTTAATATATTAAATAATAGTATTTCATATGTACATGTATATATATTATTTATATAAGTGAGCTTCACTTACAATCAACGCTCATCAACTTATATAATTATATTATAGTTACAATATATATAAAGATAAAATGAGAAAAGTTCAATTTACCATTTTATCCTTATATAATATTGTCAACATTTTCATCCAAAGATTATAAATTGCACGTTTAATTAATATAATAAATAATATAACTATTTAAATACAAAGGACAATAAATTGAAAAAAAAAATGCTTAAATGTGATCCATAGTTAGGAGGGAAGGAATAAAATATGGAATAAATTATCCATTAATCCTAAAAACCTTACTAATTACTCATAATAATTAGGAGTTACTTACCCATTCCATATTTGTATCCAACCTATTAAATACAAATTTCGCATTTCAATTATACATTTTTCACTAAAACCAATTTTTTAACTATTAATAAAAATTAATATTATGTGTTCTAAAAAATATTGATATAGTATTGGATATTTTATTATTATTGCATGTTCATTTTTGTATAAGTACAAAAATTAATGATAATTCAGTTACTTAATAAATATAAATATATTAAAAAAATAGGAAAAAGATTTTTATCTTGATACATTTAAAGGGAAAAATTTTATTCCTCCATTTATATTAATCGCATTCAAAATAAAAAGAAAGCTTTTGCTTAAGATTTTTGACTTCTATATCTATTTTGAATGTAAATTTAGTTTTTAATTTAAAATAAAAATGCTATGGATTAATATGACGAGCACGATTAATACGTAATTTTTTGTTTCTAAAAGTGTTTAAATAGGATATTTTTTATTTTCACTTTTTAAGGTAAAAAAGTTTATGTTATAGACAAAATGAGTCATTTTTTATTTTGAAAATCATTTATGAACTTTTAGTTTACTTATAAATAAACATTTCAATTTAGTCAAATTTACATTTCTTAAATTGATTCTTTTTTGTGTTCTACAAAATTGGTTGATGCTGCTGTAATGGTTGAAAATAAAGGTCCAACCAATGTCTAGCATAAATAAATAAATAAGTAAACAAAAATTACATTAATTTCACTTTGTTCAACATTTTCACATTATGTACATAATTTCATAAATTTTTTATTCTCTTTGTGTGTGTGTTTAACATTTTTATTTTTTTGTTTAACATTATAAATTACCTTACTTTAAAAATATTATACATATCATTCATTTCATACATAAGACGTGCAATGCACGTGATTATTGCTAGGAAGTATAAAAGTAGTTATCTCAATAATGTATAATAATGATATCAGTTTTGCTACAATTATATTTTGATTGTTAGTTTTATTTACATTTCATGATTGATTTGAACCATACTTACAACAATCGATGACCTAGATTATTACACATCATGAAATGTCAGTCAAGATGTACAAATGGAATGTATAAATAGCTTAATTCTATTGATATATGTTTTAACCCATAATTTTGGTAGTGTTTTCTCTCTTTTAAGAATTTGAGTGTGTTTCGAAGTGAAATTTTATGTATGGGAAAGAGAGATTGAGACATTGGCATTCTTTTAGTCAAAAATTGTTTTTTTGACTTCAAATATTTCATAAATTCACTTTGTTTACTAACAAGGAACTTATAATGTAACTATGAATTTTGTAGAGAGTTCGATACTATTTTCAGATAAAATTTGGCTTCATTCTCAATGGGGCAATTTAGGATAGGACAACATTTGGCTTCATGCTCAGTGGCGTATAAAAAAATTTACTTACAAAATTTCCCTTTTAAACACACAGTTTTTAAATGGGTTGGAACTGAAGTAGGCAGCGGCGAATCCAGGAGTTTGAGTCAGTACGGACGGCCGTTGACCATCTACCGTTGACTGCAGTAAAATATTAAAAGTCCTTTTGGTATCCATTTGTTTTGCAAAAAAAAAAAAAAAAGCATTTTGGAATGGTGATTTGATGGAGAACGTCTGAACGTGTGACTAAAAATAAAGAAAAAATTTGAATTTATGTGTAATATTATTTTATTGAAGAATGTATGGATAAAAAGAAGAACGAAAAATGTAGTTTTAAAAAAAGGGGAATCGAACAAGGCCTGAAGTATAAATATAACAATTACATTGTTCAATATGAATATATATAATTCTATTATAATAATAAATAGAACTCATCAAATAATATTGTTGCCAAGTTTTGTATAATTTAAAGGAAGAGTGTGAATTCGAATATTTAAAATTGTTTGCACTAAAATGATCAAAACCTAACAAATATCATTTTGTTAAATTTAGTAACACAATTCAAGAGGTATCATAATGGTTAAGTTTACCATAACCTTTGCTTGAGATCATGGGTTCAAATCTTTATTGTCCCTCCCTTTTGAATTTTGGTAAAAAATTATAGAATAAGAATAATACATAACAAATCCATTGACAAAGATTCAAACTTAAGACTTGAAATATATTAAGGCTAGCCCTCATCAAGTATGCTACAAGGATGTTTGAAAATAAAATCAATTACCAACAATATAAGGTAAAAAT